AGGGAGACTGAGCCAGCAGCTACAGGCAGGCCGCGTCCGGTGCTCTCCGGGGAGCGGGGCCCACAGGGAGCCCTGAGGCCAGTGGCCCTCCAGCTGTGCACCTGAGCCCCAGGGGCCTGCCCCGGGACCCCCCACCAGTGATAGGCCAGGGCCCATGCCCTCGGGCTGGGCAGCTCCCCCGCAGAGCGCCGGTTGCTGGGAAGGTCTCTGCTGAGGGCAGTCTGGAGGCAGAGTGGCTGAAACCCAGAGGGGACGAGCCCCCAAAGGAGACCCTGGCAGGAGGAGGGCAGGCAGGCCTGGGGACTGTGCACCCTGGGGTCCCCTTGTTAGCAAGCGACAGTTTCTGCTGTCATTGGAGAAGCAGAGCTCACGCCTGGAGGACGTTCCCCCCCAACCCCAGGACCTTCCCCTCTGCCCCACTGTCCAGCCCAAGCGCCCCCAACTTTCTCCTGCGCCTCAGTCCCTACCCTGAGGGTAGGCCCGCTGTGGGGCAGGCCCCGGATGAGTTCTGGGCCTGCAGGTTGTAGGGAGGAGAGCAGGCCCCTTCCCTGGGTCCCGATCACCCCTGCTGGAGGAGCGCCATCCCCAGAACTGCCCAGGGGCCCAGGACCCAGGTAGAGAGATGACCGCACTCCCAACCCCTGGAGGCCCCTCCCCTCCCCCCTCCAGCCCCACGGCTTTCAAGAGCCCTAAGGAGGAGGCGCTGACGCTGTCGGTACCAGAAAGGCAGCTTGCGGGAGTTCGGGGGGGGGGGGCCACGCGGGTCTGGCACACGGGTACTGGCGGAAATGAAGTTTGGGACTCAGCTCGGCTAGAACTAGAAGGAGACTGTCCTTTTGTAGCCAGGGCCACCAGAACAACCCCAGGGCACCAGCCACGTGGCCACCCTATGAGCAGAGCCCCAGACAGAGGGCTGAGAGCGGGGAGTTTCCCCAGGAGTAAGGAAGTGTGCGCAGGGACACGAGGCAAGATGTGGCGGCCAGCCAAACGCAAGGTGTGTTCGGGCTGTCATCTTTCCCACAGCAACCAGCAGCCGAAGCAGCGGGTTCTCTTTTTCTTGGATGTTCTTCTGGGTCATCTCCCCTCCCTCTCTCCCATCACCCACCTCGGGCATGTGGCTCCGGCCAGCAGTCCCAGCCTTTCAGAGCCGGCCGCAGCACCGGATTTGCGGTGGCATGGGGTGGTACCAGGCCAATCCCCAAACATGCACTGGAGTCACTGGGAAAAAGCTTTCTTGCTTCTGGACTTGAGCAGAGAGTAGACAGCATCTGACGCGGGCAATTGAAGGCTGGGAGGGTGAGTAGACACCAGACCCCAATAACGAAGACTGAGGCCCTGGATCCAGCCACGCTTGAAGCCACGCCCCTTGGCTTCTCAGTCACATGAACCAAAGTTCCATTTTTGGGTTAAGCAAGTTTGTGTTGCATTTCTGCCTGCCAGGGTTCATTCCAAGAAGCAAAAGCCCTATGAGCATGGTGCAATATGAACAGTGTTAAAACTTTACACAATTGTGGAAGGGAGCTAGGGACGTGGAAATCCAGGAGAAGCTGGAGAAATGCGAGGGAGGGGGGCAATAAGCAGCCCTCCCCAGGCAGGCAGGCGCCGAGGAGGGAGCTGGCAGGAGTGCTGGGGAGCTGGGCAGGTCCAGTTCTGCAAGTGGGACCACAAGGGGGTCGGATGGAGAGGTCTGTGGAAGGTAGTGGCCCCTTCAGACCCCTGCCACCGTGAGTGTGCAACAAGGGATGCGGTAGAGCCGCCCTCAGAAAGAAGAGGACACACTGCAGGGAAGACCCCTGTCCCCCCAACCCCACCCTTCTGCATCCATCCATCTCTCCATTTTTGCCCAGGATGGCCTTCACTACTCCTCTGCCACCTTCCAAAGTGCATGCGAACGTCCTGGAGTCAAGTCCTGCCTCGAGCTACACAGGGAAGGGACTTCTGGCATTGCACAGTGACACAACCCAAACCACCACGCTTAACTTACCAAAGAATCCTCACCTTACAAGTGTCACCTGAGTCACCAGGACCTTCAACTGGCTCGCACCCCAGCCACCCTCTTGAACAGCCAGAGGAGGTAGGGGCTGCAGAGGCCCCCAGAAGCTAGAGAGCTGGAAGCACAGCTGTCACCCTTCCCCCCATGTGGGTGCCCAACAGGTGCCGCTCCTCCCCTTCGGCTGAGAGGGTTCCTGCCAGAGGCTGCCTGGACTCAGGGACAAGTGCTCCTGTTCCCCGGTGATTGGTGCGGGGGAGATCCACACACCCGAACCCGAGGGCCTTGACCTATTCCAGGCAGACCCGCAGGGTCTCCACACCTCTTTCCCCCATCACCCCCATCACCTACAGAAAACCCTCCAGGTACAGCCCTGTTCTGAGAGCTGGGGTCTGTCCCACAGCCCTCCCTGGCATGGCTCACACCCCACCTGGACTGGTCCTTTTGCCTGGACCATAGCGGTCCAGGTAGGAGGGGGAGGGGCCATCTCAGCCAGGTGGGGTCCAGCAGGGCCAGCAACTCCCAAGCCCCCTTCCTGTCAGCCACTGGCCCACAGCCACGACATACAATGCCCTGTCACAAGCCTGCTCAGTCTTCCCCAGAACGAATTTCTGCAGATGTCTGCTTCTGTCTGCTGGTGGCACTGTCATCCACAGCTTGGGCAGACTCTCTGGATGCTTCTACACCACCTCTTGGGCCAGCCTGCTCTTCACAGCTCCTGGCAGCCCCTACTTTATCCCTGTCACCTGGTGGCTCTCAGATTGGGACAGCCAGAAGCCCTCTCTGCAAGCTCCCATAGCCTGGGCCTCCTGGAAGCTTCCTGCCACTCTCAGTGAGGCTGAGCTCATGTCTGCCTTTCTTAGGTCGAGCCTCATTGGTTAGATCATTCTCTGCCCACTTGAAGGCTAAGAACTCAGAATGCGCTGCTCTGAAACCCCCCTATGCTCCCAAATCTTACATTGACTCAACCATGGCCACCCTGAGCACCCTCCCTCATTCCCCAGCCTTCCGGCCATCCTATTCCTGAACTGTTTCTTCCATAGGATGGACCCACAGTGCCCCTGCAGGCCACTACCCAAACCTTGGCTTCTTGTGACTGCAGGATTCCCGCACGAGAGGTGTTCTGTCCTGCCCTGAGACCTGGACAGGTCCCCAGGGGCTGCTACTAAAACCACTATCCGTTTGCGAGCTCTCACTGCCACTGTTTGTGAGCCTTCTTTCTCCTCAAAGAACACCAAATTTCTCTGTTGCCTGAGGAGACTCACACACCGTTTTGGGGGCCACCTCCCCCATGCCTCGGTGAGAGCACTCAAGGCAAGAATCTGACTGATAAACCACTTATGGCACACCGTGGCCCGGCAAAACACGGCACAAGGACACAACCCAAAGCAACAGCAATTGTTAAACTACTGTGGGAAGGCTTTTCTCTTTGTGGGATCCCCCATGTTGTCTTTGTAATACTAGCAGCAGGGCTGAGCGGAATGGGGGATCCTGCAGTACAATTCGGCTCTCTCCCACGGCATCTCACCTCTCGCCATGCCACAGGGCCCTTGTCCAGGCTGGTCCTCCACGTGTCTCAGGGACCCTGGGAAAGCAACGTCTGTCTGACCTCTGTTCCAGAAAACATTCTGACACTTCTTAAAACAGTAGGGAAGACTTCATTCAAGACTATTGCAGTAAGGGAGGCTGGCCTCGACTCCAAATACAAAGAGGACACAAGAGGGGTTTACAGCCAAGGAGCAGAGTTGGGGGCCAGTGGATGGAAAAGTACTGAGACATCATGGGTAGGGGGTCTTGCTACAGGCAGGCTAAGATGATCAGACCCCACCTGGGGGATGAAGAACGTAATCAGCTAATGGGGGTGATCAGACATCAGGGGTGGGGGTGACAGGCTTTGCTGAGACGGGGCTGTGGGCAGGTCACAGGCAGGACAGCGGCTTGGTGAAAAAGAGGCCTTAGACGATGACTCAAGTGGGGTCCTGTCACCTCCACCAGCTCTGAGATCCCAAATGCCGGCCAATGTAACCTGCACCCCTGGTAATCTTTGATTTCTAAAAGGCTTAATATGGGGCGCCTGGGTGGCTCAGTCGTTGAGCGTCTGCCTTCGGCTCAGGTCATGGTCCCAGGGTCCTGGGATCGAGCCCCGCATCCGGCTCCCTGCTCGGCGGGAAGCCTGCTTCTCCCTCTCCCACTCCCCCTGCTTGTGTTCCCTCTCTCGCTGCGTCTCTCTCCGTCAAGTAAATAAATAAAATCTTTAAAAATAAAAAATAAAAAAAATAAAAGGCTTAACACTTGAAAGGCCACCTTTCCCTAAATGCTCAAGGGGAGGGAGGGAATCCACACAGCCCCAAGACTGTCCCCGATTTCTTATTTCAACAGTTTAAAATAGCAGTTATTCAGGGAGTCAAGAAACTGTCATCTCTATCCTCCAGGCTTGGGGGGCTCGGCTCTCGGGGGCTCAAAGGCTGGGGGCTGGGGTCCTCGAAGGATCGGGGCTTGAAAGCTCGGGATTGCGGAGACTCAGAGGCTCAAGGGATCGGGGGTTCGGCGGCTCGGAGCTCCGGGCTGGGAGCCTTGGGGGCTCGGGGATGGGGGTTTGAGGACTCGAGGGCTCGAGGGCTCGGGGGCTCCGGGATGGCGGCCTCGGGGACTCTGGGGTTCGGGGGCTTGGAGCTCGGTCAGGAAGAAGGTCCTCACCCGGTCGCAGCAGAAATGCGTCAGAGGCCGCATCCCCAAGCCGCACATGCGCCGCACCGGGCGCACAGCCCGAGGGGCGGGGCGGGGCAGGCCGGGGCGGAGCCAACGCCCTGAGCACAAGTTGGATGGCCTCACTGCGCTCGCGCCGCTCCGCCCCCTCACGGGGATGACCAATGGGCTCGCAGGACCCGCCCCTGACGACGGGGCCCCGCCCCCTGGAGACGGCAGCCGCGGAGCCGAGAGCCTCCCGGCTAGCGGGCGGTAGGTCCGGGGCAGGGTCGGGCCGCATCTGCGTTCCCGGCGGCCCTCCGCCATGAAGCTGACTCGGAAGATGGTCCTGTCCCGGGCCAAGGCCTCGGAGCTGCACAGTGTGCGGAAGCTCAACTGCTGGTGAGGACCCAGAGGCTGGGGCCGTCCCCGCGCGTCCTCCCCGCTGCCCAGCACCCGCGCCCGGGCGGAGCGGCCCCGGACCCGCACCTCCGCTCTGGCCGGGGGCGGGAAGGGCCTGCGGAGGAACCACAGGGCGGTTCGGCGTGAAAGGGAGCAGGTGCCAGGGCCCCACAGCCTGCGGGGGGAACTGCCACAAGCCCAGGTGGCCATTGCCAAAGATCCTTCCAGAATTTTTACCCCCTCTGGGTTGTGGTGTTTCAGACGCAGGCTCCAAACATGCTCGCTTTGCTCAAAACAATTGGAATTGCCTTCAAGTCTTGTCGGCCTTCTAGATAGCATTAGTGGGGCAAACGGTTCCGTTCGGGAAGGGACTGTTTTTTGACATTGTGGGTCATTGGGAGCCAAGTCGACTAATAAGGTGGGAGACGGAGGGGATTTTTTTTTTTAAAGCAGTTCTTTTTTTTTTTTAAGATTTTATTTATTTATTTGCCAGAGAGAGCGAGAGAGAGAGCACAAGCAGGGGGAGCAGCAGGCAGAGGGAGAAGCAGGCCTCCTGCTGAGCAGGGAGCCTGATGTGGGACTCGAACCCAGAACCCTGGGATCATGACCTGAGCTGAAGGCAGAGGCTTAACCAACTGAGCCACCCAGGCGTCCCGAGACGGAGGGGATTAACACGTTCCTAGTGGGAAAGATAGAGAGCTGAGGCTCCAGAGTAACGATTCAGGAAACATTTCTGTAACTGAGTCCTGTTGGGAGGGGCTGTCCCCAGGTGCCTCACGGTCTGGGAGGTGACAGGACAGGATACAGGAGCCGTGGGGTCAGTGCAGGCTCCAGGGTGGGGTGGCCAGGTCTGGCTGGGCCAAGGAAGGACGGACACACTTCAGGAACTCCTGAAAGATCTACAGGCGGGGCTTCACGCACGCCTGTACACACTGGGCAGTGGAGCTGGGGCGGGAGGAACTCAGCCCCCAGGCCGCCTTCCTCCTGGGAAGTGTCGCAGATTGACTGCAGTGAGCTCTGCCTGTGGCACTTCTGACATTCGGCCCTGTCTCTTGTTCCCAATAACGCCCCGCTTTGTTTTGCATGAGGTGGCCAGGCTTTGTCTGAGCAGGGGGAGACAAGGGCCCTGATTCCGGCTCTCCAGCGTTTGTTTCATGAGCTGCATGTTCCACAGCCTTTGAACTGGGCCCCTCACAAGGACTTGCTTGTTTACTGACATCAGTGAGGGACATTGTCCTGCCTTGCCACAGCCTGGAGAATGAATGGATCTTTGTGTCCTCCAAGTGCAGTGGCTCTCCTGCTCCTCAGTCTGAGAAGCGCCCCTCAAGCACCGAGCATAGAGAGTTTTGTTGCAGATCGCCCCGCAACAAGTTTTGACACCTTTGTCAGTCATCTGGACAGGCTGTCCCTGGCTTTGTCACTGACACCATAGAATTTTAGCTTGCCGACTTTTGTCATTAATTTTTGGAATTTTTGTTTCTAATATTTTTTTACTCAACTTTACCAAAATTAAAGTATGTATGTCTTTTTTTTCCCCTAGGGGCAGCCGCCTCACAGATGTAAGTGTTACGCTGATCATCTCCAAATGCTCTCTGATCCCAAAAGTTGTATCCTGTCCCCCAAGAGGGTCACTGAATTTACAGAACTGCACACATTCATTCAGCTCCTGATCTGGTACTTGGTTCATTTAGCAGCTTTCGTAACGTGGAACGACTAAGGAAAGAGATATTCTAAGTGCCCAGCTTTATTTTGAAGTTCCTTTAAGTGTTCTCCTGTCAGTGGAAGTCTCCATGTCCCACCTCTCACAGAGGAGGGAGCAGATCCAAAGTTCGGCTGCGGATGAACGTCAGAGGGCTTTGCTGTACTTTAGATGTGCACTCTGCGGGAGGCTCTTTTCGTGGGTTCCTGGGCTGTGAGTCACTGAGGAGGTTGCTCACTTCAGCTCCTGCTCTCGGTGGGATCCAGTGTTGTGCTCCCCGCTCCAGGCCATGCCAGGAGGGGATGGGGCCCAGGGTGGGGGTCAGGGAGCAGTGCCCTGAGCTGAGCCGTGGGTCTGTGAACAGATTTCTTTCCCTTTCTCTCTCTCTCCTAGAATGAATGTCCCTGACTTACACAGGGATCATGTACCTGTCTTTTCTTTCTTTCTTAGTTTTGTCACTTGAACTGTACCTTTCCTTGAAAACAGAGTCAGAAATGCTGCTGACACAGTGGATTATCCAGAAAAGTTGAGTCCACCTCATGCTATAACTGAAATGCAGCATATCCAAGCAGCCAAAAACAACCCTAAAAAAACAAAAATACCGCTGTAGCAGAAAACAAATCCACTGCACATGTGAAGCATTCTGAGCAGACCGTGAGCCTGTTGAGGTCAAGGGCGTCGTCTGGCTCGGTGCCTGGCGCATGGCAAGTGCAAAGACACTTGAGGACTGCCCCGCCCATCGGCCTCACAGGTTAGGGAGCCGTTGTGGACCAAGCCGAGCACCCTGCTGCTCTTTTCCCCTGAATTGACAGTATTAAAATGGCATGAGATCCGGTCTCAATCCTGTCTCCCTTTTGGCCCAGCTCTGTTGGCCAAGCCCTCTCCTTGTGCCTCAGGGACAGCAAGACAGAGGTTCTCTGTCCAGCGTAGGGGCCACAGAGGTCCCCTTACCCGATGTCTTCTGCGGGCATCGAAGGGTAGGGATGGTGGCCGCGTTTGACGGTGGCGAGAGAGAGCGTGCGTGTTTCTCCTTTGGGTGTAGGGAACCCGAGGGCAATGCAGTACACGGAGTATGAGGCAGAGCCTGCACGCTCTCGCGCGTCATGTGCCAGCCCCAGTGAGGCCAGGGCGTGGCTCCGCTTCGGCCGTGGCGGTGGCGCTGAGTGTGGCGCACCGCGGGTCTGCTCTGGGCTCGCGGGGAGTGCCCAGCAGCCTGTGTCCCATCAGCGTCCTTTCCTTCCTAGGTCTCCATCTGCCGGGAGATGCCCAGCCTGGAGGTGATCACCCTCAGGTACCTACACACCTGCTGTGCTGAGTCACGGGGCTCGAAAGAAGGAGAACCTTCACATGCCCTTAGATAACCTGAGAACTCCCAACGAGAGTGTGTCTGCGACGGCCGCCTCTGTGGGCGGGGCAGCCGGGCAGCACGGGTCCCCCCCGAGCTCTGCCTGCCTGTCCCCCTCGAGCACGCTGCTGTGTCCTTGCCCGCCCTCCCTGTGATCGTGGGCACAGCCCCCACCCCACAGGATGAGCAGCCGCCGTCACGTCTGCCACCAGCGCCCCCACCGTTTCTGCCATCTGGTTCTGTTGCTGCCAGGAGCTCTGCCAGTGTCTCTGTGTCACATGCTCTCTCATTTTGATAGCCACCCCTTCCGGGGGCATTGGCATCTTAACAGACTAGGGAGGCCGTGGATGAACCAAATGTGGCTGCTGGGATTTCTGGCAGTTGGGCAGTTTGGGGGGTCGGGGGAGGGAGCATTGTCCCCTGCCTCTGAACTCCCTCCTGCCCCCTGGGGACCCAGGGAGGGAGCCTGGGAGTCGCCACTGCTTGCCAGATGCTGGCTCTCCCACCTTGGGCGAGGCTCAGATCTCTGGGCCTCAGTTTCCCTCTCTGTAATATGGACCTAATACCGGCATCTGCCCACGTCGGGGCAGTGAGGAGTGAGTGCAGGCAGGAAAACAGTGCTTGGGGAGCGTTCATGCGCCAGATGTCTGTGTCACTGACTTGTTATCAGTGAGGCTGTGTTTTGAGCCCAGAGAGCCTTCCCTGATGAATGAATGGATTGCCTTTCATTCCTGAAAATAGGTGTGGCTCGAACCCTGGCTCTACCCTGCCTGGAGTGATGTGGGGCAAGTTGCTGGGCCTCCCTGTGCTGCAGGATCTGTTGTGCTCACAGCTCAGAGAAAGGATGGGGGGCCCAGGTTGTTGACTGAGCTTAGGTGCCCGGTCTGCATGGCTGGCTGCGTTGGAACCCGAGTGTAAATTGCTGCGTGAATGCAGGGTGCAAGTCCTTTCCTGGAGTGCAGTCACTTCCCTTTGGTCTCAGCCTCACGTGGAGACGGGCTGTCTAGTCTGTTCTGGCTGCTGGAACAGAATCCCGTAGACCAGGCGGCTTGCGGACGATAGACACCGTGTGTCGTGCCTCTGGAGCTGCAAGTCCAAGGTGAAGGTGTTGGCATTTTCAGTGTCTGGGGAGGCCCTCTTCTAGCTGGGTCCTCGCATTGGGGAGGGGGAAGGGGGCTCAGGGCGCTCTTTCATGAGGGCACCGGTCCCCTCCGAACCCCATCACCTTAGGGGTTAGGTTTCAGCATAGGAGTTTGGGGGGCACAAATACTCAATACAACCACAGTTAGCCCAGTGGTCCCGTAGGGCAGCAGGCCGGGGTACAGGCTCGGATCTTCATGTTACACCCTGGCCTGTGCCTCGGACAGCTTTCTCAGACTAGGAGATGGCAAAGCCTGAGTCCTGCTCGGGGTGCGGTGGCGTCCGCAGCACTCCTGGCTCTCGAGTGAAGCAGGCCGTATGCTGAGCGCAGCGCTCCATGCTGGCAGTCCCATTAGGAAGTGGGGCCACCACTGCAGTGTTGTCTTGGGGACGAATTAGGCCATCGCTGCCCACACCAGTGCAGCCTCCAGCAAAGAATGTTCTAGATAGGTCTGGCCCTTGGGGCAGTGTGGCTTGGAGAGGCCCCACCCGTGCCCTCCACATGCAGGGAGCGGCAGCGGCCCCAGAGCTGCAGAGGAGGACTGCCCCGGCCTGCACGGTGCTCCCACCAGGCTTGCAGTCCTGGGCGCCTGCCCTCAAGCCCAGTGCGTGTTCGCGGGCCATCCGCTCTTGTGGACGTGGGAAGGTTTCTGCTTGTGTCCGTGCAAGCCTGTAGGGTCTCTGCCCAGAGGCTTGGATGATTTTCTGTCTCTGATGTGTTCACAATTCTGAGCAACAAAACGTAAACCCACATACCCTGTTTCTTCCTTAGGCATGGGATTTGGGAAGTTGGGTGCTCGGTTCTCTGTCACTCGGAGCTTGCTTGTGTTTGCTGTGGGTTTTTCTGGCCGCTGCCTACTTTGGGGCACAGAGACATTCCTTGGTGGCCGGTTTCCTGTCCTGTGAGGGAAAGTGAGACCTCTGACCCCCCAGCTGACTCCATGAGGCATGCACCGAGCAGGAGGCCAGGGTGTTGCTCACTGCTGCTCATCTGTCCAGCCTGAGGGACTTCCCATCCTTACACTCTCTCCTTGGCCTGGGGTGTTTGTTGAACTTGACTCACACTGTCCACTTTTGACCTCCTTCCAAGGCGAGGGCAGATGGGCCCGACCCCGGGGTTGCTCTCGCCTGGTGTTTGCAGCGGCCCCGAGAGGAGTGGTGTGGAGGGGCGCCGCCCTCCGCGAGCGGGGTGCTAACCGTGCCGTCCCCGTGCTGTCCCTGTGCAGCGTCAACAGCGTCTCCACCCTGGAGCCCGTGAGCCGGTGCCAGCAGCTGAGCGAGCTCTACCTGCGGAAGAACTGCATCCCCAGCCTGGCAGAGCTCTTCTACCTGAAGGGCCTGCCGCGCCTGCGCGTGCTCTGGCTGGCAGAGAACCCGTGCTGCGGCACCGACCCCCACCTCTACCGCATGACCGTCCTGCGCAACCTGCCCCGCCTGCAGAAGCTGGACAACCAGGGTGGGTGTCGCACTGCCCGGCACCTGCACGTTCCCAGTCCTTCCAGACGCAGCAGGGGCCCCCTTCCTGTGGTCTCGGGGGGAGTCCCCCAGGCTGCTGCTCCTCGTTTCGCAAGTCTGAGTGGGTCCGACCCCCCGGGTGCGGCCCCACACGGAGTGTGGGATCGCAGGTGGGCCTCACGCACGCTTCACCCACCTCCTGCCTGGGCACACCGTTGCTTCTGCTGCTTTGTTCCTGCTCAGAACTCTGCTCCAGACACTTACCCGAGTGGCCTGGTGAGCGAGTGACAGGGTCCCAGCGGGCTGGCCGCGTCCATGCTGGCCCCTGGGGCCCTGCGGCAGGTGAGGCACGCCCGTGGTCCCCCGCCCCCCCAGCACTGGTCCCCCCGCTGCTTGCCTCTTCCTGCTGGAGGCCCGAGGGTCCTCCCTGCGGCTCTGACCTGCTCCTCCCCCACCCGTTCTCCAGGGTCTCTGCCGGGTTCTGCGAGGCCACTGGCATTGCTGTGCCAGTCCTTGGCCCTGGTCATGCGTGCACAGTTCTTTCCCCCAGAAAACAAGTGTCATATAAGTTAGCACAGAGAAATTAAGCCACGGGGGAGTGAAACAGACTCATTCTGTGTACTCTGTTCCTTTTTAACGCTGACCTTAATTTGGCTTTTTACGAACACTTGCTTGTAGCAGGGGCTGGAATTGAGATTCGTATGCAGCTCGGGCCAGGACAGGGAGGTGACAGGACCCAGCCCTGCTCTCGAGGGGCTGGCCAGTGGGGCGGAGACACACCCCTCCTGTCTCCGGCAGCTTGTGCCGGGCGTGGCATCGAAGGCAGAGCCACGGCCCGGGGGGGGGGGGGGGTTTCTGTGGGGGCGAGTCCGCTCTGATGCTGTCATCCCCCCCCACTCTGAAGCCGTGACCGAGGAGGAGCTGTCCCGTGCACTGATGGAGGGGGAGGAGGTCACAGCCCCCAGCGGACAGGGCACGGGGAATGGCGGGCCTGCGCTGTCCTACACCCTGAGCGCCATGGACACCACTGCTGAGACCCGGCAGGACACGCTGGGCTGTGGCCAGGAGGAGACGAGGTGAGCTGGCGGGCGCGGCGGGCCTGTCCCTGGGCCCTCCTGTGGAGTCGGCGGGCCTCTCTGGGGGGGGAGGGAAAGGAGCTGCCTGCGGTGGTTCTTTGCCATCTGTGGCTCTCATCGCTCCCCAGCCTGCTCGCAGCTGTGCGTCCGGAAGGCTCAGGGCCCAGGGCTTGTGTGGGTACGGAGCCACCCTCGTAGCTGGAGCGGCCTGGAGGTGGGGCGGGGGATGTGGGCCAGTGGGCACCACGTGGCCCAGCACTGCGGTCCCCCCGAGGGAAGGCCACCCGAGCTGCTGTGGGGCGGGGAGGGCTGTGTGGCCCTGAGGGGGGCCCTCCCTGACCACAGCACCGCAGACGGGCCTGAAGCAGCCTCTGGCGGCACGCTGTTTCTGAGCAGCCACGGAGCACGGAGAATGTTGTAGAAACAGTCGAGCCCAGTGGGGTTCAGGCTGCATTCACTTGGCAGCCAAGCCCGCCGTCCTGTTTCCCACCAGTGCAGGAGGCCACCTGCGTGCTGCCCACTGCTCTGCGTTCCCATTTGCATCTTCAGTGCCCCCAACCCTGGTGGGAGCCCAGGTACAACGAGGGGCCCCCCGGCGGCCCAGAGAGATACGTGCTAGGCCACAAATCCTTCGTCCCACCCACCCGTGCAGTGCTCTGTCCCTCCAGAAGCAACGTCACCAAGTGGCGGTTCTCCTTCCTTGCTGTGCTCCGAGGCCCTGGGGTTGGAAACGGGGCCCTGAGCAGGTCAGGCCTCACAGCCCCATGCTCCCTCTCCTACCCACAGCATCCAGAGCCAGCTTAGCCTGAAGCCGCCTTCCCGGGACCGGTTTCCTTCCTTCTCACAGAGGGACACCGTGAGCAGTCGCAAGAACAGGGTGAGCATGATGGGGACAGCCCTGGCTGGAGGTGGCTGCCACTCCCAATGCCCAGAATGTGTGGGGGGCTGGGGCTGGACAGGCTGCAGACAGCCAGGGCCTCACCGAGCCGGGCCCCAGAGGGTGGGAAGCTGGCTCTGAGCTGAACTGGAAGTGGCACACCAGAGCGACTGTGCCAGCAGAGAAGTAGCAACCCCGGGGAGAGGAGACCCCCAAACCAGCCTGCAGGCAGCTTGGTGCAGCACGGGACCTGGGTCTGCCCTGCATCTGGCCTGGGGGTGGGAGGGCAGCCCTGGCGGCACCTGACGCTGCAGGGACTGCTGCTCTCGGGGAGGCCTCCCTGTCCTGGTGGGGCGGCTTCCGTGTCACCGTGGCTCCTGTTGGTCCCTAAGGAGTGATAGGTTCAAGAAGTGGGTCATGTGGGCACTTCCATCAACGATGCTGGACCTTTCCAAGCATCTGTTTCCTTGTCATTCTGGTCTGTCCTGGGGGCTTGTCCCCCTCCTGGTCAGTGGGCTGGCCATGTGATCCAGGCTCACACCCAAGGGGACAGGGGCCATGTCTTCCCATGTGTGTCCTCATGAGACAGAAAGTGCAGCTTCCCTGTGGACCGCCCCCCCCCCCCCACGCAGCAGGACTGGCTTCATCAACTGGAATTGCTCACGTCCTGAGTGTGAGCGTCATTAGCCAGAAGAACGGGGTCACCACCGTTAGCTTGGCCCAGCGGGGACCTTGTCTCCTGGTCACGTGGGAGGGGGGCTGCCTGAGCAGAGCTGGAGTCTGAGGGAGGCCTGTGACCCGCAGCACCTGCTCCCGACTCTGGCTGCAGGGTCCAACAAGAGCCATGGGACCAGCAAGACTCACACTGGAGGGACTCCACAGTCAGGGCTGGGGGCTGTCAGCACCCCCTTGAGGAACTTGAAAGCTTATGGGAGGCACAGAGGGGGATGGATGGAGGCCCTGTCCTTGGGAGGGGCCAACCTGCCCTCTGAGAAAAGTGTCCCCCCAGAGCTGGCAGAAGTGACTGCAGGCTGCAGGCCAGTGTAGGCAGCGGTCACTGGGCCTGTGGCCCCTTCCCTGCACAGGTCACCGTCCTCTGCAGGGTCTGCGCACGTGTGTAGTCCCCCTACACATCCCCTGGAGCGGGTCAGCCTCTGCAGGTCCGCACATGTGTGTAGCCCCCCTACACGGCCCCCGGAGCAGGTCAGCCGCGCACGTGTGTAACCCCCCTACACGTCCCCTGGAGCAGGTCAACCTCTGCAGGGGCTGCACATGTGTGTAACCCCCCACACGTCCCCCGGAGCGGGTCAGCCTCTGCAGGCAGGGCAAGGCCCAAAGCTCCCTCCTCCCCACACCCAGGCCTCTGCAGAGCACGGGGCGTTGGGTTGGGGGTTACCCCAAGACTGAATCACTGATCCAGCTCGGTGCGTTCCGTATATGCAGACTGAAAATCATCAAACCCCCTGGAGCGGGCAGAGCCGCTTCCGGGGGCAGAAAGGAAGGCTCTGGCTCTACTTTGAATGTGGAAGTGGCTCGGTCCTCCCACGGAAGGTCCTGGAAGCCTGAGTGGGGGGATGCGGATGGCCGGGGAGGCCGCACCGGTGTAGGTCTGCGGGGGGAGCAGGACCCCCGAGGGTAGCTGAGGTCAGGGGTCAGTGCCACGGGGTGGGCAGGGGCTCTGTTGCCGAGCCCCAGTGTGACCCTCTGAGCAGACGTCACGTTGCTGCCGTGCGCCCCCGCTAACACCCAGCTCTCCTGTCACCTCACAGGAAGAGCCAGCTCGAGTAGCCCCCGCGTGCAGAATTCTCTCTTGCTCCAGTGTGGGTAGAAACCACATGCACACGCATGACACACATAAGCGGTGTGTGTGTGTGTGTGTGTGTGTGTGTGTGTGTGTGTGTGTGTGTGAGAGAGAGAGAGAGAGCACACGTTCCCGAGCGCTGTCCTGGCCACTCAGCCCCTCTGACCCCTGCCGTGTGGCCGGCTGTGTGGCCAAGGGCCCATTGCTTGGCCTCTCTGGGCACTCCCTGCAGGCGCTGCCACTCGTCTGCCTGAGTCTCTGTGCTCTGTCCTGGGTTGCCTGGAAGGCCGCTCGCCTGCGATGTCCGTGTCTGGGTGGGGGCACTCAGCGGTGACTCTGTGCCCCCAGAACAATGTGCTGACCGCCGTCCTGCTGCTCCTGAGGGAGCTGGACACCGAGGGGCTGGAGGCCGTGCACCAGACCGTGGCCAGTCGGCTCCAGGCCCTGCGCAAGCAGGACCTGCAGGAGGATGTGGAGTGACCGTCAGTCGGAAACCCGAGCTGCCACGCCTTCCTCCCGCGACCCCGTGCCCAAGCACCTGGGAGACGTGGGGTCCCTTCCACGGCCACGGCCTCTACTGGACCCCGGCTGAGTCCTAGCATGTGGGCTGTGTCCCAGGAAGTTCAGGCCTGCCTGGGGAAGCCAAGCCCTCGGTGTGGATGGCGCCCCAGCGAGAGCAGGAAGGGCGTCGGGCACTGTGCTGGGTGCCCTCCCTGCCCGGGGCCCAGGTGCACGCCAGCCTGCGTGGGGGGCCCACCCGGACTTGGCTCTTCCTGAGGCGAGCATGGCTGCCACCGTCCCTAATAAATATCTTACCAAAGTCCGATCTGGAAGGAGGCGTTTCCTAGGGGACAGACATGACCTTGACGTTGTTTTGAAGGTGAGGGCTGTTGCTCACGCACATTTCCCTTATCGGTTCTCTGCCCCAGTTGTGGAATAGGCTCTGTCCACCATGGCCAGCTTCCAGAATGGTGCGGTCCTTAGAGTGACTTGGCATCAGCAGACCCACACCGCTGCTGCTGGCCGCCACCGGGACATGTCGTGCAGCTGTTAGGGTGGGGGCAGGACTGGAGAATGCACCTTCCTTTTTTCTCTGCCTTTTTAAGAGCCCGCAGGGCCAGGGGTTTGTGCGGATGGGTGGGAGAGGCCCGGGGTGGGCAGGATGCAGGTGCAGCCGTGGGAGAGGCACTGGGTGGGGGAGGACACCTCAGGGAGAGCCATGGGCCTTGCTCTGATGGTAGTGCTGCAGGCCGAGGGGCCTTCCTAGTGCCCCCCTGCAGCTGAGGATGCCTCCCTGGGCTGGGGAGCGGCGTGGCCTGTGAGCTGGTAGCCGGTCTTACTGCGGCTGGGACAGGAGCGGGGTTGCCTTCGCCCCCACTCTGGTTGATGGGGACCCAGATCTGTGTAATGTGTCCATCACCGTGCTAGCAGAGGGGTGACTTGTGCGCCGTGTGCAAGAATCCAGGTGGGGTGGCCATGCCCGGGAGACGGTGCTGCCCTTAAAGAGAGGCTGCACTCAGGCCAGCAAGTTTCAAACGGCCCGGGGCCCAGGAGGGCTGTTGGGCGCTGGGTGCTGGGCCCCCGGCGGGTGGTTGCTCTCTGGGGCGTCTGTGGTTCTCCATGAACTGAGTGGCAGAAGCGAGGCGTCGCCATGTGGGGGCGTCTGTGAGGGGTGGCCGCCTGGCCGTGTGTGCGCTTTCCGCTGTATGTGGGGACAGGCAGACTCTCAATAAAGCGTCTGAGAGCAAGCTGGGGGTGCTTGTGTTAAATTGAGAACACTCTCCCTTCCCCACCCACCTGGCGGGGCTCACACCAACTTCCCGCCTGCGCCATCACCTGGTGCACCCCAGTTAGGGACCTTGGATTGGCCACCAGGCTGGCTGGGCCCTGAGCACCCCACGGCCCTGCTCCCACTCAGCGGCCGGAGAGCTCTGAGTTCAGGGGGAGATGTGCTTCGAGAAGAGACCAGGGCTCTTTGCTGCCGGCGTTCTCCACGAACAGACACATGGGCTCCAGGGCTGCCCTGGGGAGCCCGGGGTTTTGGGGGGCCCCGCCAGGGTCTGGGGGCAGCCCGGGCTGGCCTAGTGTGCTGCCAGCACGCATCTGGGGAGTTCTGTGCAGCTGAGGGAGCATTGGCCCGGCCGGGAGTGGATGCCCACAGTGGCCTCGCCGAGTGCAAGCAGCGCTGGGCATCCACATCCCGCGAGGGGACTTGTTTGCTGGCCTGCGCTGCCCGCACCCCTGCATTTCTAGTGTGCACTCGGCCAGGCCGTGACCAGCGTGGGCACACAGGACCCCACACTTGCAGGGTGCTCTGCCCCCACATCACATCACGTAGCCGGATCTTAGCCGCTCCCTGGGAAGTCGGCCGTTCAAGTCCTGCAGGGCTGTCCAGTTTTGTGTGAGGAAGAACTACTGCTGAGCTGCCCATCACGGCGGCACACTCGGGAGGCTGGTGGCCATGGTTCTCACCCGGGGAGCCCCACCTGCGCCCTCCCCTCCCCAGGGGCTGGTGGGGAGCAGGGGTGGGCAGGGGTGGGGGAAACCTGTGAATGCTAGCCCGGCTGATGATGTAGCGTCCACATCACCCCCTTCCAGATGTCCCCAAGTGGGAAAACCGGACAGCTTCATTACACCTGCCCACGTGCCCGACAGCTGGGGGTCCCCGTGGTGAGTGTCCTTACTGGGCCGGCCGACTGAGCTCACCGGGGGGGCCTTGTTGGGGGTCTGGGATGGCGCCCCGATGCCTGCTACTGCCCACCCCCTCCCCGCATGCAGGCCCTCCGGAGACGTTCTGAAGTCCTGCCGTGAGCACACCTGTGTGCACGAGCCTCTGGGCGATTTCCCAGAAATGCTCTCCAGTGCCCCCCAGAGCCCTGTCAGCAGCAGAAATTGTCGAAAAATGTTCAATCTGCCAGACACTGAGGACTCCTGCTTCAGCGGATGCTTCTCAGAATCCTGGTACCCCGGTAAGATTTACTCGTGGGCTTCGTTGCCCGGAAAGCTCGCAGAAGCACCTGTATTTTCCAGGGCTGAGATAGTCTGCGCATAGCGGCCTGGGATGCAGGAATGATGGGACGGAGGATGCATTTGTGGCCGCCTGCATCCCAGAGCCTTCGGCAGCCAGCAGGCCCGCGGGGCAGGGGGGCCGGCTTGCCCCGTGGGCCGCACCCTCCTCCAACAAGGGACGGTGGCTTCGGGGAGAGCCCTGTGCCTTGGGGACAGCCGTCCGGGTGGAAAGCTGGCTCTGGGTTCAGCTGCTCCCCCTGCTTCCCAGCAGGCCAGCCTCGGCCCAGGGGTGCTGAATAGGGGCTGGGGAGCCGTGGGGATGGGGCTGCTTCACAAGGCAGATGGGATTATTGCTCTGCTTTCTGGACCATGTAGACACCTGCCCAGCGCCCCACTCTGCAGCAGACCCCCCTGGCCGCTCCCAGGACCCTGCCCCAGCCACAGGCAGCCAGAGAGCAATGCTTGCTCCCTAGTTCACCACGTTCCTGGGGCCTCCAGCACCCCTTTCTCCAGCCACGCTCTCGAGGCCCCTCACACCCCCACCCTGTACTGAGAACCACCTCGGTACACGCTTTCCTGCAAGTAAGGCCGGGGCTTGCTGTCTGTGGGATTCTCAGGTGGCCCCAAGGTTCCAGACCCCTGGTGTGTACACCCATATGACCCCCACCCCCAAGTAGGGGGGTCTGTGAATATGTTGGATACCCTGCATATATGGCCAAGGTGAAGGAGCTTCAGAGATGTACTTAAGGTCCCTAACCAGCTGCCTGAGTTAATCAGAAGGGAGATTGGCCTGGGTGAGCCGTGCCTAATCAGGGAGCCCCTGCGGCCCTCCTTTATAGGTGCCAACTGATTAGGGCTGAAGAGGGTGTGGGCCTTCTGTCCCTGAGCTCAGAGACTAGAAGCAGCAGACGTCCACTGCCGCCCCCGGAATCCGGCCACAGGCAGCTCAGAAGAGCCTGAGGTCCAGGAACAGCCCTCAGTCACGGCTGTTCGTGAGCCAAGGACCCAGCTCAGCTGCGCCCACACTCCTGAGCTACTATGAGGTCACAAATGGGGGTGTTTGAACCCAGTATGTTTGTGGTGGTTCTCAGGAAACCAGCATGGTCTCCCTGCGGGGAGCCGAGTCCTGCAGGAGCTCCAGCCCACAGCGGAGCCCCCGCCTGCCCCCCCACAGCAGGCCCCTGCGGGCATGGCCCGCCGCCTGCCTGCCCTTCCCGCCCCCCTCTCTGCGCAGCAGGGACCCACCGTGGGCTCTCTCCCATCCACGTTGTGCGTGTCCGGGTTCACAGGCGGACTCGGCGAGGCCTTGGCTGTGTGCTCTTGGGCTGGTGGCTCCCGAGCAGACTCCACACAGCATCTGTACCATGGGACACAGAAGCCTCCGGCATTTGTCCACAGCCTCCCTGGGTTGTGATCAGAGGCCCACGCACACACGCTGGGAACGCAGAAGCCACTTCCAGGGGTCTCTCACCCGCCAGAGCAGCCCTGCCCTGGGCTGGGGCCTCCCACGGTGGCAAGCCCCTGACCCTCAGACGTGGTGCAGAGGGCACACTTGTCAGTGCCCTGTGGCCAGGCTACTGGTGCCACCCCCATCCTGCTGGACACCCACACGTTGTGTCCTCGAGGATGAGCTGGAGGGCAGAGCCCACTGGGCCTGGGGTTCAGGGCCTGCTCCCCAGCCTGGGATGGCCCCAGGACAGCCAGGCCTTGGGGGCTTCCTCCAGGACAGGGAGCCCTCCTTTGCTTGAGGAGCCAGGGCCTGGCTGCAAGGAGGGGGTGTTGGGACACCAGGGGCCGGGCCTGGACGCCTCGGCCTTCTGCCGCAGGCCACGGCCGGTGCATGCCCCGCCTCCCAGGCTGTGGCATGGCGGCCTTGGCAGGCGGGGGAGGCTGTGCTCCAGGAGGCAGAGGCCGGTGTGAGGCCGGGCCCTGTGGCTGCGGAAGCATTTGGCTGAGCGCCATTTGCTAGCATCTCCAGATGCCGCATGTTCAGGCAAACCCAGTAAGAACGTCCCGCAGTTAGGCTCCCGAGGCTCCCCGGCTCCCTTCCCCAGGCCAGTCCCTGGGTGCCCTGGGAGGCCTGACCGGCACTGGGGGGGTGGGGGTGGGGCAGGGGGCTGGCAAGGGAGGGGTCAGCATGGAGCAGGACCTGGGCCAGCTTGGCATCTGGGCTGAGTGTGGCTGTGCGCTTGACAGATGGACACGTGGCTGTACACTGGAGGGTGTTTCTGCCACAGCCAGGGTCCTCCCAGGGAGTCCCCACCTCTGAGCCGCAGCCTCCCCACTCACATGCGTAAGCACACACACGTGTACTCACCTGTATGGACACACGTGCACACATCCACTCAAACACACTCACACTCGGGCGCCTGGGTGGCTCAGTTGGTTAAGCGACTGCCTTCGGCTCAGGTCATGATCCTGGAGTCCCAGGATCGAGTCCCGCATCGGGCCCCCTGCTCGGCAGGGAGTCT